GAGAAGGGATGGACAATTGGTTTGCACCTGTTAGTGCACATCCGAGTGATTAAGAGAGGATTACGGGCACAGAATTGGACGAGCACGTGCGCCTCTTTTGCGGTGTAAATAACGAGTTCTTTGGGGAAGGGTGTCTCTGAGGTTTTTTCTTTTTAATTGGTAGGACGGCTTGGCCCGTCCTTCCCTTCGGCAAAAATTGCAGGGATTAGCTGTAGGCTCGAGGTGCACGTGCACTTAAATGGTCGCTAATTAACCGAGCGTGAGCACCGGTTACTCGGAATCGATTCTCTCCAACTTCTCTCCAACGTAACAGCGCCACGATCGTTTCGAAAAAAAGAAAGAAGAAGGAAGAATGAATGGTATATCGTAGAATTTTTGAAAAATTCTCTTCATTACATCCATCTCCATAATTGTTGCGATAATTCATTACTCGTAACAACAATCTTTCACATCTTTAAGTACAACATCTAACTAAAACATCAAATTATCACAATATTCAATATTCTATATTACCTACCCAAGAAATAAAAGAATATATATATTTTATTATATATGAGAAAGAATCGGAGAGAAAGAAGAAGTGGAAGGAAATTTTGCACATCTTTAAGTACAATATCTAACTAAAACATCCAATTATCACAATATTCATCTATATTACCTATCCAAGAAATAAAAGAATATGTATATTTTATTATATATGAGAAAGAATCGGAGAGAAAGAAGAAGTGGAAGGAAATTTTGCACATCTTTAAGTACAATATCTAACTAAAACATCCAATTATCACAATATTCATCTATATTACCTATCCAAGAAATAAAAGAATATATATATATTTTATTATATATGAGAAAGAATCAGAGAGAAAAAAGTGAAAGGAAATTTTTCACATCTTTAAGTACAACATCTAACAAAAATATCAAATTATCACAATATTCATCTATATTACCTATCCAAGAAATAAAAGAATATATATATATTTTATTATATATGAGAAAGAATCGGAAAGAACGAAGAAGTGGAAGGAAATTTTTCGCATCTTTAAGTACCTCTAACTAAAACATCAAATTACCACAATATTCATCTATATTACATTATATATATATTTTATTATATATGAGAAAGAATCGGAGAGAAAGAAGAAGTGGAAGGAAATTTTTCACATCTTTAAGTACCTCTAACTAAAACATCAAATTATCACAATATTCATCTATATTACATTATATATATATTTTATTATATATGAGAAAGAATCGGAGAGAAAGAAGAAGTGGAAGTAAATTTTTCACATCTTTAAGTACCTCTAACTAAAACATCAAATTATCACAATATTCATCTATATTACATTATATATATATTTTATTATATATGAGAAAGAATCGGAGAGAAAGAAGAAGTGGAAGGAAATTTTTCAAGGAAAAGGGAGCGGATGAAAGAAAATGAACGGCGAGGATGGATAAGAGGGGGAGGGAGGATATTAACCAATTTCATTTCAGGGATGGCGCGAGACGAGACGTTGCAGTGCGTGGCGGCCCCCGGAATGGGGCTTCCTTAGCGGCTTTCTTCCTAGAGGATCCTCCTGTCCTCTTCTGCCCCCTGCACGAGAATGCACCTCGTCTCCTTAGCTACGACGGTTGCCGGTGTCGGGAACTGGGAACCGGGTCCGCCCTTATCTCGAGTTTGCAAGACTGGCTCCGGTAATACCGTGCGCGGCTAGAAACCCTTACGAACGAGAGCTCCGTGAAATATCGCTAAACGGCTTCTCTCCCCCTTCCCGCAGATACCTCCTTTCTCTCTCTCCAGCCTCCCTTCCTCCTTTCTTACATTTTTCTCCTCTTCTCCGAAATCCCATATCGTGGCAAAAGCTTATATCGCGCGAACCTTGCGAGTTTTGTTGCGAGTTTCGAGCGAGCGACACGGGTGACATCTGTCTACCTTTTGTCGAGAGTGTATATGGTATATATGTATATTAAGGTTTTTATTTGGAGATGGAGATATGGATGTTATGTTTGTATAAGTGAATAATAAATTTGTGGTAAAATTAAGATTATCATTCGTAAAATATAGCGAAATTGAAGAGTAGGGAAGAATAGTTGATTCCAAGGATATTTAGAGACTTTATTGATAGAGATTCTGATCTAATTCAAACCAAAGAAGATAATAAATAATTCCAGAAGAATCTTTTACAGAATATCATAACAACGTATCATATATATATATATCATTCACAAGAGCATTAAAAGAGTTGATCCCTGAAGGACAATATTCAGAGAAATTACTATAGATTCTCTCTGTACATAAGTTTCCTATAAAACACTGTTCCTGTCATAAAATAATTCCAACACTTCCATAATTAATCCAATTAATCGTGCAAATCGTATCCAAAGAATGGTTGAAAAACGAAGCTACAACGTGTCTATCGAACGCATATCTTAAATCGAAGCACGATCCAAGGATCCACGATCGATCCACCGTTTCGAATAAATAACAGAAATAACAGAGGGGCGGCGGCTTTAAATTTGGCCATATTCTTCGTGGACGAAGAGGAGAATGGGGAGAAGGCGAAGAGCACAGGGAGGAGGAAGGTGACGACGCCTGGAACAACGGCGAGGAAACGAACGAGCGGCGCTTCATTATACACGACGCTCGCACGCTTCGTTTGCCTCCGGAAGTCGTGCTTTAGGAGGGTCGGGCGGATGACAGAGGAGGACGCGAGGGCCATCCTCCTCCTGGCGGGGGAAAGAGATCGGGGGGAAGGGGAGAAACTGAGAAGTAAATGGTCGGGGGAGGGGTACGGTTGGATTAATACAATCACAGGGGTGGCTCGCAGCCGCCACTCGCAGCCCAACTCGCGTGGAGAAACACGCGAGCGGAGAGAAATGGGAGAAATGGGCGAGATATAACCACCCCTTTGCTTGTCATCGAAATTATACGCTGCCTCGACACTCGACCTCGTTTACGAGGTTCCATCTTTCTCCTTCCCTCCTTCTTGATTCTTCTTCCTCTTCTCTCCCATCAGAGCTGGATTCCTCTCCTATACACGACAGTACACGTCCTGCCACGGAAGACGAGACAAGAGTTTGAAAATTAGGGGAAGAGGGCTCGAGTATGGCGGCGCGTAACGAGCTGTTGTCCTTGTTAAAAGGGGAGGGGGTTTCTTCATCGCTCTCTTCTCATCGACCAATGTGTTACGCGATTACCTTTGAATATTTGAATTAAAATATCAAGTTTTCTCTTAACGAACGATTACGTTACGTTTTGGTTGGAAGGAGGGAGAGGCGAGTGAATTCGAAAATTAAGAATTTCTTCCCTTTCCTCGAAAGATATCGTCCTCTTGGAAGATGTTTCTTTGAGAAGCTACAATTGGTGGAGAGAATTGCAGATTTTCACTAAGTCAGTTAGGTATCTGTAAAATTCACGAACCATTTGTTTGTTTATTATTTCGATCGAACCAATTCGTAATTACATTAAAAATTAAATTAAAGTTGAATTAAGTAATCTCTTTACGATTTGCAAAACTCGTCAGTGGTGGAAAAAATTCTTTGACGGAGAAATACTCGTGCAAATATAAAATTCTTTGTCCAAACTTCGTGGAACTTTTGAAAAAAAGGGGGGAAAAAATTTGAAATCACAGGTCAACCCACCACGAATTTTCGAAATACGTCGAAAGGGGAACAGAAGAAGGAGAGGGAGGATTGGTCGCGCAATAAAGGCATCTGGAGGAAAGATTTCAACCCTTGGAGTGGCGGAGGAGGGAGGGGATGGAACCAGGTTACGGGGGTTTTTAATAAAATCAGGCGATCGTTGAGGCGTGTCAAATGGAAATATGCACGTTCAGTCGAGGGATTTTGCGGGCGGAAGAGAAGCTTTCCCGTTTGTAAAATGGGGGTGCGACTCGATAACGATGGAATTCATCCACCCACACTCCCGCCCGAGAGGGGAGGGGGCGATAGAGGCGAGGATAGATGGAGGGATGCGGGGAGAGCGAGCGTGGATGATGAGAAAAATCTCTTTTTTTCTCCCTCCCTCCCTCTCTCTCCCCCTCTTTTTATTTCCTTCCATTCGGCGGTGTATCGTAATCAAGGAGGCGCGAGGTGGATTAGCGAGTTTCGATATCGTGGAAGGTTTTTTCCAGGATGGACCGGCCGAAGGAAATTTTCCGCGAGGCCGACCAATATCCTCTCGATTGATTTGAGAAAAACGCTGGATTTTCATATGCACGCAGCAGTGTTTGAAATTGATTTGGAATGATTGGAATTATCGTGGTTGACGAATTATTAGGAGAGTTTTAGACAGGAGGGAAAATTAGATGCTTTGACGCGTGATTGATCGATTGAATTTGTTTGCGAAGAGGATGAGAATCACGGGCGAATATTTATTAATATCAAGTTTTACGTAGCTCTTTGATAAAGATGGAACGCACATTTGTAATTGTTCGCGAGGAAGGGAATGCGCGTTATGAGACGTGGAAAAACTAACTTCTGCAATTTCTGGTTTAAAAATATAAATCTTTGTAAAAAAACGCTTCTCCGAATAAATAGAAAATTTTTATTATATTAATATTATTTCTTCTATTATCCCTTGTTATTATCCTCGAATCTTGTATGATTTTGTTTGATTTCTTGTATGATTGAAATTGATTAGTAACTTCTACAAAGAATTTTAATATCTACATTAAGAAATGATCGTTAAACTAAAAACTTAGATATTCATCGAGAAGAAATTTAAAATTAAAAGTTCAATTCTATTTTCATATTGTTTCATTCGATCAATTACGAATACTCAAACGGGCATTAAAAGCACGATGATCCCTTTAAAGAACCGAATATTTTAATATCTATATTAAAAACCGAAAGCTCAATTCCATTTTCATATAGTTTCATTCCAATCGATATTTCGAGAGCAACGCATTAAGCATCTACGAGTTACGATACTCAAGTGGACGAAACAGTTAAAAGGAGGAACCTGAATAAATTTTATAATTTCTCTTTCGAAAGCAACACCTTTCTAAATACACCTAAAAGAGGAGAGTTCCGTTTGAACGTTAGGGGGGGGGGTGCTTCACCCCCTCTCGCGGGGCCCGTGGAACGCGCCATTCGTTCGCCCGTCAAACTGTGCCACGATGAAACTGTGCGGTGTACATGGCGAAGTCGATAAACGTGACAAATGCAGGGGGGAGGGGGAGGTTATATACACCGTTCGACGACCGATCGCGTCTAAGGGAATGGTCCAACTTGCTCCCAACACTTATGGGCCGCCATTCGTTTTACGAGCCTTCTTATCGGCTCCGTGCCAGCCCATAAACGCATCTTTTCCCGTATACGGGGCATTCTGACGCGTTTACGCGGTAAATGTCGATCCCGGTGTGTATTTATCGAGTGCCTCGCGTTCCGCTTTATCAGGTGGCGGGAAATATTTCGAGAAGGATTCGAGTACGATTTCCTGTTCCTTTATTCGTCGATCCATGTAAATTTTGGAAGAACGATTGTTGGGAGAAAAATTATGAGCGATAATTTGATGAATTGATTAAAGATATAGGAAGAAAGCTATTCCTCTCAAAATATAAACTTTTTCGAAATATTCTCATTTACGAAATGAAATTCTAAATTCCAAGTTTCTTTTATAGAACAGATAAGAATAATTATGAAAAGCAAGATTTTCTTCTTTCTCTATAATCGCATTTTGGAAAACGGTAGAGATCGAAACAATTTCTAATTTCCTTACAATCCTATCCCCAAAACCTTATCCTTCGAAGACGTCGAAGGTGTATCCTTATCTTCGAGGCGCAGGTTATCATCGACAGGGTCCGAGATTATGAATTAAAAAGAAAGGTGAGGGTGGATAAGAGGCGACATCCCTTTCCTCTTATCCTCGACTCGCGAGCGAGGGGCCACATCGACGAGGGTGAACGAGATAAAGAGGGAAGGAGGGCGGAAAGAGAAAGAGAGAGAGAGAGAGAAAGAGAGAGAGACGTCTGTCGTTTTGTATATCTACCCTCGTACGGTGGAAATTTCGTTATGGGGGTGATTTTCTGCGGGGGATGGCCAGCCCCGTCCCCGCTTTAAACCTGATTGGATGCAGAGTTATCTCGCGCTGCGTTACTTCCGGATGATTGGTCGCTGCGGTCGTCATGACTACACCTCACCACCACCACCACCGTGGCCGCCACCCCCGCATCAACCGTCCCCCTCGCCCCCAACACCCGCGCTCCTTTGTCGCGTCTTCGTCACGCGTACGAACACCGCGCGTATGTGTGCAACCTATGTTTCGAATCCTCTCTGTTTTTACGTTTTCCAGTTTGCCTCTCGCCTTCGTTTCAATTTTTCCACTTTTCTTTTTCTTTCGACGTTTTCGTCTGTTTCCAAGTTTTTTTCTTTTTCTTTCTTCTCGCAGTCCAAGCGAGGGGAGACATTTGGTGTTTGGATTAAAGAGCGAGAAATCTTTGCGTGATAACCGATTGCGTGAAAAAGAGATTGTTTCTCGAAAGTTATCTTGGAATGAAAACGAAAATTGGATGAAAATTCGTTTGAAATGTACGAGAAAGGGATCGAATTTATAAATTTTTTATCTTTGGTTTTATTTTTATAATTGCTAAAGATATGCACAGACACGTCAAAGTTAATGTTTACTTATATTGAAATATAAACGTAATTACACATAAGTATTTAATCATTTGCATTATATAATCATATATCTATCAAGACGTATATAACAGATTCACAATTCTAACCTAACTAATATTAAATGATTAAATCTCAGAAAAA